ACCACCAGTTTTGGTGGGTCAAAATCTAGTAACTTTTGTATTATGCTTAGCAGGTATCTGTGGTTCTGTTTGTGAGATGCTTAGCACTCTACTCTCTCCTTCGAATATGGGCTTCAAACCAGCAACATGATATGATGCTAACAAAATCTCCAAGCAGAGCTTCAGAAACCTATGGCTGACATCACAATGGCTTTGTCCATTTTTTTTCTTTACATACACTCTATGAGTTTAGCACACACTCGAACTTTACACTGCTACAAGTTTTGGTTTGGCTGGATCCGTTCTGCTGCTTTAAAAGGGGGTATTCAACAGTAACCATATGGATAGTTTCAATTAAGAGTGCGATAGCCAACATTACAAAACACAAACATCCACTTTAAGAAAATGGCCGGCAGCCAATATCCAAATAGAGCCCATTATTGGTTAATGACTGGAGATCATTCAGCCTCTGCTCACCCAACTATTTTACTTTCACTATTTAATTTACAATTTATAATATTAGCTCACAGTTAATATGATAAGTTGTGAATCTGTGCAGTTCCATCCAGTTACTTTATGTTTGGTTTTTCCAATTCTGATAATGACTGAAATTAAGTAAATAAAAGAGAGCAAGCACAAAATTAACAGCATGGAGGAGGCAATGACCTGTGGATAATAAAAAAATTAAAGTGAACTGAAGGAAATGAGCTGGCAAGTTAAAAGCACTGGTCATTTTCAGTGTTATCTTTCTGTGTATGTGAGGAAAACACTGCCTTTTTGCTTCTTCTGCAAGACTTGCTCACCATTTAAATTAGAGCTCACGGCTGGGAGAGTTCACCGGAACAGTTGTGATGGAAAGGCGGGAAGCAGATGAGCACAGCTTGCATAAAAGTCAAAGCAAGGAAGCAGCGTGGAGGATGATAATGAGTCCTGTCTCTTAGATAACCCCTGTCTCCTGTGCTATCACTCTCCTTCCCACCGATCCATAGATGCTGCACAGAAAGTGACAACCGAGGACAGGAAAACGAGAACTTACAGGGAGGTCAGCGTAAAAGTAGTGTTTCCTGTCAAAAAGCGACTTCCTATTTACGGCGCAGTTAAGAGCCAGTCCTGTCATCACCGCTGCTTCGACGCAGCGCTTGTTCAGGACCTGGGGACACACGGGGACAGATGATCTAAGATTGACAGGTTACGTTTATTCTAATCACATGAAGCATAACTTACAGGTAATGTGCCGGGTAAGGATGCATCGAAGAATGACACCAGGGAATTCGGAGGAGCCGAGAAGCGAACCGGAGCGCCAGAGAACAGCTTGGTACTGGAGTTAATCTGAGCATGAATTTCCAAACCCACCACGCCGACCAGCTGCTGGGGAGCACTGAGACAAAAAACATGAAACAGAAACAAAAAACATGAAAGAAAATTCAACTACACAGGTGGGCTGTATTTGTGTACTATGGCAAAGGAAAATACAATCTGGCTTTGAGGTGTTAAGGAAATGAGCAAATTTCGTGCGGGTTATGGGTTTGAAGTGTGTTTAGATGCCTACAATTACACTTTATAATTGGCAGCGCTTTTGATGTACACTGTTTTCTCACAAAGGAAGCAAAAGCACAAAAGAAGTAGAAGAAGAAGAAAATGAAGACGTTTTTGTCCTTTTCCAAAGAGTTTGCAAGGACATCTTCCCATATGGCTCTGAAACTACGTTCAGACACTGGGACCTTTCACCTTGAAAGGCCTTATTCTGTCAGTTCATATTCTGCTTTAATAAATTCTGCATTCAATAATGTATGCAGAAACCTGTGTTTTGTTTTGTTTACAGCCCAGAGGCTGGGCTTGGAGACTATAACTTAACTTAAGCCCTAAAAACTTTATTCTGACCTACTATGTGGCCCACAGGAACAAATGCAGGTAGGCTGCAAATGACACAACTTTATGAAACTACACTTTCTCAGTTCATTAATAAAAACTTGAAAAACGCCATAACAGACTCAAAGATGAATGAACGGCACAGCACGAGTCAAAACAGCTGTTCAGTTTCTGGCTTTGCTTTTGAAAAGTTAGTGTTTCCACTTCTGGTCCCACTTACAGTTTCTTGGTAGTGTCGTGGTGTCCTGACAATATGAAAGTTAAGCTCACTTTCAGGCACTGAGGATTTTTTTTTTTTTAACAATCATCTAAATGAAATATAATCCTAACAGAGAGAGTAAATAATAATCTTCTTTAGAGCTGTTCGATATAACTATATATATCGGATGACCACAACTGTTTACGGCAATTTTTTTTCATCGTTTTGATGGTCACTGTAGTGGCTATATTAATTTCTTAAAGTTATCTCTTTCTCTTATATGTAATATAACCACACTACGGACGGACAAGCGCCTGTTTTTATGCGTTGTGGTTAGCAACAACGACGGTAACACCTTCGCGTGTCCGCTTGTTTATGTTCCACATAAACCTTTCACAATAAAGCTCAAGATCCTGTTGAGACTTTTCAAAATAAACTGAATCACGTGAAAGAGCAGATTATTTATGGATGAGAAGTAAAATAAATAAATAAATAAATAAATAAATAAAAAATAGCCGCTTTTTGCTTGTATCTAGATTCAAGCAAAAAGAATTGCAGCCACAGTTATGTCTGTGACCACTGAGAAAAACTAGTAGGAAAGCTTAGTGTCTGCAACAGATGTTCTACTCAGGTGGCACTTTGATGTTCAATTCAATTCAATTCAGTTTTGCTTATGTAGTGCCAAACCACAACCACAATTGCCTTAAGGTGCTTATACTAAAGTAAAGACCCTATAATAATACAGTAGTTATTTAAATTGCATTATGTTGTAGCCTTGATTTAATATCCTAAAGGAGTATGACTGGTACATAGTGGACTGATATTGTGTAGTTTCTATCAGCTGAAACATGCACGCAATCCTAAAGCACTCTTCAGAGATGAAAAGCTTAAAATGTCTGTCTGCATTAATCTGTTTAACTCGTGGCATCCTGTTATTCAGACACAGACTGCATTTGATGTATGATACACTGCACGACAGTAACATGATTTCTGCCACAGATGTAAGAGGCTTGGTGAGCATCCTGAATGAAAGGCTCCATATTGTCTTATTCTGTCTCCGTGTAATCTTTCACATTGCACCACACGTTGACGTCATCTGTTATTACAGTGTTCTAACGGCATCCTGTGACCATGGCAGATGGATAGCTTGTCTCTTCGAGTGACTCTATGGACAAAAGCACAGAGACTGCTGTCTGTACTGTTGCCTTAACCCTTTGAAAAGCTAAATAAAACTGATAAAGACAACATCGCCTTAGCAAAAGGCACCCCCTGGTATCACCAGGTCTCTAAATGTCCTCCTTCATTACACCCATGAATTTTCTCTGTAGTCTCCCTCCATATTCAACATCCTTTATCTAATATGGACACACAATGTGTGCTTTTTCCTTAGCTGCTCTATAGATTTCACATAAAACAGAGTAAAAAGAAAAATAACTAATTTTAAATTGGGCTAGAAGCATAAAGCCACATGAAACTGAACTACTTAAGTAGAATAAAAGTAACATGACTTTTTTTTTTTTTGCTCCAAGGCAACCGGTTGAGTATCCAGGAAGTAGTAAAAATCTGGTACATAACCATACCTAAACTGAAACTATGATGGTAGTTTTTTAACAAACTTTTTAACAAATTCACAACAACCCTCAGCATGTCCTCCTCTACCTCCATGAATCTTCTCTGTTGCCGTGCCTGGCAGCTCCATCTTTAACATCCTTTGTCCATTGTATCCACTATCTTGGCCACTCTGTACACATCTAAACCACCTCTGAACTGACTCTGAAACTTTGTCTCCAAAATGGTAAAACTTGAACTGTCACTCTGATGAACTTATTTCTAATACAGTCCGTTCTGGTTACTCACAAAGGAAATCTAAACACCTCCAGCTCAGCTTCCTGTCTTTTTGTCAATGACACCATCTCTAAACCATACATCATACATCCCACTACCATCTTGCTGCTATCCTTGTGTCATAAATCCCTTCTTGACACTAATCTCCGCTGCTCCACCCTGCCTGCACTTTTTTCTTCACCTCTTTTGAGCGTTGTCCTTTGCTTTGGTTGACCCCAACTTCTTTACCTCTGCTTCCTGCAGCTTTACTGTTGCACCTGCTGTACCTCATTTCCATGCACACGTTCTATCTTGCTTCTACTGATTTTCATCCATTTTCTCTCCTTTATTATTCCTCATCTATCTTAGGTCAAGCCCTAAGAAAATCTTTGCCCCGTTAGCTCAGCCACTAGATTTGTATCACCTTCATAACTCCACAGCAGAGTGGCGCAGCGGAAGCGTGCTGGGCCCATAACCCAGAGGTCGATGGATCGAAACCATCCTCTGCTAACTGTTTTTAACCGAGCCACAAGATAAAGCTTATACTCCAAATGCCGTTTAAAAGACTAATAAACGTATATTAAGCTGTTCGACCACAAGAATGCATAATGTTCAGGGCGTATTTTGTTGATGAAATCGCGAACCATGTCGCATACGCAGTAATGTTCTTTTGTCTGCAGTGTTTTTCACCAGGCTGAGAAGTGGAGGCCGCCGTTAATGACTTTTCTCACCCGGCTGCTGTTAATAAGAAGACCCTAAATAGGTATTATTATAGCTCAACACCAAGGCAACATGCAGATTAACCTGCAGGTCAGAGACGATAAACACACGCACACACAATAACCCAGCACCCTTTCTTACCTTCGTGCCCTCTGCGGGAGTTGAGCGTGGCACTGTGGGCTTGTGGTGCTCACGGCCCTAACTGCGTACGAAGCCTTTGGACGCAAGGCTGATATTTGTTTTATATTATTGAGCAGCTCACTTGCTGCAACACAGGAGGCAGCCATGTTGGTGTCGCTGCTCTGACAAACACGGGAATTGTAGTTTTTTTAAGTAGCAGTTAGTATATAGGCCTACGCCGCTAGCTGAGGTTTAAAACTACAAACCCCAGCATTGTGTATTTTCCAGCTTCCGAGTAAAGAGGCATCATTTCCGGTTTGAGAACTGGCGGGACTTCTTCACTGGATAGGAGAGCGGCAGGTTGTTTACAAGCCTCGGAGTTTGTTTAAACACACAGAAAATGATGGCAACAAACGGAAAAGACGCGTGTGGGGTCAATGAAGAGGCGCACACAGCTGCGGTAAACGGAGATTGTGCAGAGGCGTCGCCGCAGTCGAAGCGGCCGCAGAGGTTCACCTTCAGCTCCGAGCCCTCCATCGAGGATATTAGGCGCATGCAGGCCGATTTTACGGACGAGCGAGACTGGAACCAGTTTCACCAGCCCCGCAACCTTCTGCTGGCCATGGTCGGGGAGGTGGGCGAGGTGGCAGAGCTCTTCCAGTGGAAGGGAGAGGTAGCCGAGGGCCTGACGGACTGGACCGAGACCGAGCGGGAGCAGCTGGCGCACGAGCTCAGCGACGTGTTGATCTACCTCGTGGAGCTGGCCGAGAAGTGTCGCGTGGATCTCCCACAAGCGGTGCTCCGTAAAATGGCTCTAAACCGTCTGAAATACCCCGCCAGCAAAGTGCAGGGGTCAGCCAAGAAGTACACGGAGTATAAAGACTGATGGACGAGGGGGAGAGCACTGGGGGAGTGTGTTTGCTGGACCTGCTGCTGTTTAATAAAGACCCACAAACGCTGCACAATCACAGCTCGGTTTAAATGACATTTTCTGGGTTTACATGTTAGGAAACCACGAAAACCTTCAACTGTTGTGTTATCTGGTAGTTATCCGAACTCAAGGAATATGTTGGCTTTTACTGAAGTTCACTTTTAAGTCCTGAGTTTTAGTCTGACCTTAGCTGTGCCTCTGTTAGTTTAAGGTGGGACTGTTGCGCATCCCCTTTGGGGTTTATTTGTCACTAAACATTTTAAGTTATTTACCGGTAGATTGGCTCCAGTGTCAGCACGGAGCGGAGTGTTGATCAGTGCCAAACTGACAGTCTCGTCTCTTTTTTCCATCCAAATGTATCAGTATATTTTTCAAATTTGGATGTTTTTATCATTTTGTCATAAGTAAAAGTTGAGTCCGAGTCATGTTTTCACTCAGCAATTTTGTGTTTTAAAGGATGAAACTGGATTAGTAATCTGTTAACCAGCCTGCAGTTGATTAAGCAGTCTTGTACCTTAATCGATGTTTTGATTTCAGTCACATGTCAGGTCATCTTGCTGTCCACTTTATTTGCTGATTCAATAATGTCTTATTATTCATGAAAAGGCAAGTTACGTCCATAAATCAGGACATTTGTATTTGGGCTGTAATAAAGAGCAGTTACAACCCATCCTTTTTTTTTCTTTTACAAGTTCTTTCTAAGACACTATAATCACGTGCAAGTGTCCCACACTCACTTGAAAACGAAAGGTTAAGTGAAGTAAGGATGAAAGGATCCTGTATTTGAAATTGTGTATATATAGCACTGTGCAAAAGTCTTGAGCCACCTTTAATTTAAAAAAAAAAAAAAAATTCTGTTAAAACATAAATGTATATGGAAATTCAGCATATAAGACAAAAGCAGTTTGTATAATTCTGCCAATCTTAATGTCCATATTTGGTATGATCGTCTATTTTTCAGCACAGTCTAAACTTATTTAGGCAGCTTCCTTTCATTTCTTTAAGTAGTCTTCAGAAATAGTTCTCCAGGTATCTTCAAGGACATTTAAAGCTCTTCTTTGAATGTTGTCTGGGTTCTGGTAAGACCTTTCCATGCGATATGTGTGTTTTTCTATCCAGGTATCCTTTTACTACACTGACATTGTGTTTGGGATCATTTTTATGCTAAAAAATGAAGCTGTTGCCAATGAGATACTTTCCAGGTGTATCACATAGTAAATCAAAATCTTATGATACTTTTCTGCGCTCATATTTACATCAATTTTGACAACATCCTCTACACCACTGGCTGCAACCCCAAACCATGACAGCCTAAACTGTGTTTTATAGATGGCTTTTTTTGGTAAACAATGTTGTTAAAGGCTAAACCTACTAAATCTAAACCAAATGAAAGACTAAAAATTGCAAAAATTATAACAGCAATAAATCACCACTTCCCTTTTTGTTTGCAGAGACTGAGTGCTTTTTATTTAGTGTACATTTGGCTAAATGGATTTACAGTTTTACCTCTTGTTTATCTATTCATGCTTCTCCATGCTGGTAGTTTAGTTGTTTTGTCTAATTTAAATCAGCATTTTTTCAAGAATCGGGGTGAAAAGTGAATCTCTTGCTATATTTCTGCATGCAAAGATTTTAAAAGTAAAATGCATTTGGATGCTCAAGTGAGGCATTTAGCGTAACGCTGAAGCGTCTGACTTTCTTCGTTTGATGTGCTCCGAGATGCAAACATTGCCATTAGCTGTGTATACTGGCATTCAGCTGGAAGAATGAGTCATCCACAGGCTGCAAAGGAGAACAGCTATGCATCAATAAGATGCTGCTGTATGCGAGCTGAGCCTCACTTCAAAGTAAACAGCTTTATTTGCAGCGTCTATGATATAGCTTTCCACTTTTAAAAACAGGCAGTTGCCCATATCTGGTGGTATGCATTTGATATGAAAACTCCTCTCTTCTTCATGTTATTTGCGCATACAACTTCTTTATTTGAAGTGAAGGATTATAGAAGGAAAAGAAGCAAGTGTTGTGTTTGTTTCTGCGTTAATCAAATGAAGCGCAGAGCTACCCTAATTTGTTGTACATCATCCATAACTCCCACACTAGTGCGAGTTTTGTTCCTCGGCTGAAAGTGAAATCCGTTTTCGTTTCATCCAAAACAACAGGCAGAGCAGACAGCAGACGTATGTGCTGCACAGGGAACATCATTGCACAACAGCAGTTTGCTCTTAAATGGATGATCGTGACACTTTGTAGGTGCTATCGCAATATTCACCGTCTAGATGAATGCCAGGCAGGTAGCAAGCTGCAATTACAGCTGTCTCAGGAGGGTTAAATGTAGCCATTTTAAGCCTACCCCCTGTTCTACCTGCAGGCTTCTGGTGTGCTGTTTCTCTGAGACCACCTCGGGACAGATTTAGTAAGAAATCTTTACTTTGAGAAGCCTTGTTGGCTGTGAACAGAGTGGAACAGAATGTGAGGCTTCCCACATTAGTGTTCACCATCAAATTATGGTATATGTGAAATGCCTGTTTCTGAATATCCTGATTAAAGAGCTATTCTTAAATTAACATTCACTTGTTTTTCTAATCTTGTGGGAATCACTCACACTTTTTAATTACATCTCTTAAATAAGTCAATGTCTGTAAAATATAAGGAATAGCATGTATAACACTTGTCTTTATGTTTCTACCCCTCAGGACTTAATCTTCTGCCAGCATGTATTCACTGCAGTGTGTAGTGGCCAATATTAGCAAACTCTATGGACTGACATTATTAAGTTAATTTACTTGCAGCCACAATGCCTACTGCTTGGCAGAAAACTATGCACACACTGGCTTTAGGATTTTACAGTTGGGTGGTGGCTTTTGATACTTTCCAGGAAGCAGAAGGTCTTTTATTTTAGAGCCACGTGTACCCACACAGAAAAGTAACAGGAAAAAATCTAATTGTAAATGTTTACAGCCTAAATGTATTGTGTAGGATATCTAGTGAGACTTATACAGTATTTCTTATACTATAGTATAAGATATACTGTTTATATACTGTAAGTTTCCTGATCTTAGATGACAGGAGTGACACCTGGTGTAATCTTCTGCTGCCATAGCCCATCTGCTTCAGGGTCCTATTCATTGTATGCTCAGTAATGTTCTCCTGCGTACCTTGATTATAAGTGTGAACCACTTAGAAGAAAAGAACACATGCACAACTAGAATACACTGCATAGATGCATCCATGTTCCTTCAACGTCCATCCACTTGCCAGGCAGAATGCCGAACCGAGCCACTGACTGAATACCAGTCGGCACTGTGTTATAGTTCACACCTCATAATTTTGGAGAAAAATATCTGTCTGTGTAAAATATTTAACATAATTCGCTTATGAAAGCCTGCTGTGCCGCATATGGACCGTAATCTTCCAGAGCTTTCTGCATGTTAAATATTTGTTGGAACCCAAAACAAATGAGCACCATAGCAAATTAAAATACTAACGTTTCTTCATAAGTTGTCATATATAATTTTTTTTTTTTTAGCATCCATGCTTTAAAGGCTGCAGTAATTGGAATAGCCTAGAAATCCCAAAAATCCTTGTAAGTCCTTAAGACCTTAAGTACACTTAAGAACTAATATGTAATGGTGGATTCCATTCACTGTTGATAAGCGTACTTCATGTACCCTCTACCTGCTGTTTGATGGAAGCTGTATTTTTAAAGCCAAAGTGGGCAAATGGCTTGGAAATGCTACAAATACATCAAAGTTCTCCGGGAGCACAAACCATCTCACAAGTGTCACAGCAAATTACACGCTTGCAGGCAGGGTTTGTATGCTTGGACTGCTCCGAACCACACAACAATAACAGGCCGACAAACTGTATCGACGTCTCTGTTTGTTGCTGCATTTGTCAATATGTTGTATTTCTTTGACTTAAAAGTGGGAAATGAATGTACACCTGTTATCTTGCGGTGCAGACCCGTGTCCTTCTGTGTGCTTATACGCCACTCTTTAAAAACTATATAATTGTTGCTTGAAAGCGAGCTGGGGGGAGGCTTTTTGTACCCTTGTGTCTTCATAATTTTTTAGAAAGAAATCAGATGGTTCCTATGGTGCTGTGCCTTGTTTGAAGACAGCACTGGGGGCATAATTACATTTAAGACTTTTGATGACTTAAATCTTAGATTTTCTTTGTCTTGTTAACAGCTCAGCAGATACCATCGCGCCTGCAGTCGCTTGTTGTGAGTTTCAAAGAAGTGTGGGACATCTAGTTGTTCATGCTCAAACAGATAAGCTTTCAAAGAGACATTTACTTGAGTGAACATATTTATTTTTTTGTGTGAAAAGGCTTTGGTTTCTCGCTTTCTTTGTGGCCACTTCCTCCTCCTTTTCACTATCTGAGTCTCTCACACACACAGGCGCTCTTTTATCCTGTCATAGAGACAGCAGTGGGAGCTGTCAGATCTCACACAGTGAGGTTATCCAGCAGCAGGGGTTCACATCACATCCCATACACATGTACACGCAGATGCACACGTACAGAAGCACACAGAGACTCTTTCTGTAACCATCGCTAATGGATAGCCACGATTTCTTCCTTTTTGTGTGCTTTAGCCACAGACAATCATGTCCTGAATACCCCAAACGGATCCATTCTGAGCATTGACTCCTTGGCACTTTCCTTCCTTTTCATCCAGACCAAGCAGCTGAGCCAATGCAGCAATGGAACAAGTCAAATTTCCTGCCAACAATTAAACATTTATATGAGTGCCTCGGTGGTTTTACGGTCAAATCTATCTTTATTGTCTGCATGGGGGCATTTGGTTCCAGGCTGTCGCTCATTGTAGACTGCTAAAATATTGCACTACCTCTTTCTAATTTATACATTGTATAAATTATATACACACATGCATATATGCTGCACAATTTACCTACCTTAATACCTGTCATTTCAGACCAGCTTTGAGACCAAGAGAAGAGAAAACCCTTTAGGCAGCCTTTTCAAATATGCCTCCTTTTAGTGGTTGACGATTACTTTATTATTAATTAACTTTGTTATATTATTACAGCCTTGGCTTACTTAGACACTTCGGGAACAGAGCAGTCTTTATTGTTATTAGTAACATTTGTGCTTTTGCTCATATGACTAGTCCAAATATCTTACTTTACCTTATGATAAAGTTTCTTTGAAAGTAAGCCAAAGCAGTCAGGTGCAGCCACCAAGTCTGAGTAAAACTGCGACTGAAGATCAAAGTTCTCTGGACACATATAAAATACATCATTTGTGTATATTCATCAGTTTTTAAATCTAAAGGAAAAGAGCACTGAAATGGGGAAGAAAGATCACAGTGTATGGAGATACGTGTTAAAAGGGAGTAATTCACATTTTTTCCCCTGCAACATAGGCCTGAATGGACACTTACCTTGACTTTTGACAAAGAGAGGTGATGATTTTTCTCTCCACATTCCACACATTTAACCAAATCCAGCAGGTAAACATGGCAGGTCTGTGTGCTTGCATGGCATGAGGGTGGAGTGGTTTGCATGTTCTCCTTCAGACTGTGTGGGCTCCGTCTGGTTAGTCTGGCTCCCTCCCACAGTCCAAAGACATGCACATTAGTTTAACTAATGGATTCAGTGCAATCTGAATGTGACTCGCTAAAATGTGACTTGAGGGGTTAGTATGACTAGAAAAGCCCCATATACATGCAAGTACATTAAATTGACAGTTTTTCATATTACATTTGGAGAAACAGCACAGTTCCAGTTTCAGAGTTTATACTAGAGCCCATTCTGGTTGGCCAGTCTTTGTATATGGTGTCCTGTATTTGCTGATATAAACATTATTTTTTAAAATATACGGATCATAAGGCAAATAAAGATGCATGGGCCGGCTAGCGCTCAGCCTGAAATGCAGACACCACTTCTACCCTCCCTCTGCTCTTTCAGTATTTCATAAGCCCGGCCTCCACCTGTAGGCTCTGATTCTCCTGTGGTGGAGTTTATCACTGTCACTCGCCAGTCTCCTCTGTGCTGAGCTCGGCGTTTGCTTGCAGGGAGTGTCTGTCTCAGACACCAAATAAACTCATTACTACTCCGCATCCATTTAACAACACATCAATTCCAGATGCAGGTGGCTGACTGAATTCCCTTTGCTTATTTGCTGCGCACTACTGTATCATACTTGTGTATTTAACTGCATTCAGTTGTTCAGTCGAAACACTGACTCCACTCCAGGCCTCCCATGACCCGTGGTGATCTGCTTTATTGTTTCGCAGTAGACACTCTGGCTCATTTCTATGGTCTGTTGTGTTGTATGGTTCAATGTAGTTCATATGCATAAACAAATTGCCTTCTTGAGGCAAAATATAATGCAAAATGGGCTGCACTGAGCTCAACTAGAACTAATAAACAAATGAATGAACTTTATTTACAGGGCAGTTTCTGACTATGCCATTTAGAGATGTGATGCAGATGATGCCTGCTTTTTCCTTTGGTAATGAGTCTCAGTGTAAAGTGAGGAAACTGTCCTGTCTAGCAGTGAGTGGTAACTGAAATGATGGTGACGGTGGGAGACAGTTTTGTGGCAGGTTTTGGTAAAACCTCCTGTTTATTTAAATCAAGTTCTCCAAAGCTCGGAAAATGGGACGACTAGCGAAGTGTGAAACTGATGAGCTAATGCTGTTGATTTTAATGTGCGATTGTGCAAACTCGTTGTGAGAAGTGCTGCTGCCAGCACGCAGGTTTTAACAGACTTGATTGCCACTATCAACCCAGACAAGTGCAGCCCGACAAGCTGTTCAGCGTTCCTCGACAGTGTGGTGATGAGCTACCGCCACAAAATAAAGCAGTTTCTCTGCTTGACAGTTCTCCATCCTCACAGCTCTTTTCCATCTGAATTGATTAAAAAAATGCTTTAATGATTAACTACATACCTCGGCTCTCTGCATGAGGCTCAAGCCTGAAGACCAATTGTGGTTGTATCTGGTGCTCACAGTAGGTAATGGTTAATCTGTTATGCTAATATTATTGCAGAATTTATGCCGAGTACACCAGAGAGACCCTTCTTGGATTTACATTCATCTTTCAAAAATGAAAAAGAGAGAGAGAGAGAATGGATGAAGCAACCAGATGGTCTGTGGTTCTATGAAAACGTCTATTTTTGTCTACAGCTGGGTCATGAAATCCCAGAGAGCTCACCAAGGTGGTGAAGCTGCATTTCTACTGACAGAAACATTGGGATCTCTGCTCCTTTTGTCATCTTCTCATCTTTGGCTGTGTCAGGTAGACATGGATCCAAAAAAGAAAAAGAAAAAAGAGGATCAATGCATCACTTTATCTGTATGTAGTACAAATAAAACAGGCTGACTAAGTACAGGGTTTCGTGAAACTAAGGCCTAAGAATTTAACACAGCTGAAACTTAAACAGCGAATAAAAGTGAAGCGTTATCCTCACAAAGATTTAAAGGTTTTGTTGCAGAGCTACAGCACCGGATTGCATTAGGTTGCGCAGGTATTGCTGGTATTATGGCAAACCCCTGTAGATAGTTGACATTGTGATTTGCAGCAGGTGCCTAATG